GGTGAGCGCTGTGAATTGTGTAAGACTGTTGAATCACAGATCTGTACTTCTGAAACAAATAACACAACATATTTTAAGAAAAAAGAAAAGAAGAAGATAGCAGGAGAGGAAGAATGAAGGGGAGTAAGTCAGAGGGGGAGACGAACCAGGAGAGATGATGGACTCTGAATAACAAACTGAGGTTTCTAGAGGGGAGGAGGGTAGGGGGATGGGTTAGCCTGGTGATGGGTATTAAAGAGGGCACATTCTGCATGGAGCACTGGGTGTTATGAACAAACAATGAATCATGGAACACTACACCAAAACAAATGATGTAATATATGGTGATTAACATAACAATAAAAAATTAAAAAAAAAAAGAATGTATACAAATGTTCATAGCAACTCCATCATAATAGCCAAAAAACTTAACCTAGGTGTCCTTCAATGTTTGAATGGTTAGATAAACTGAAGTATATCCATGCCATGGGATACTACAGAGCAAAGAAAAGGAACGGACTATTGATACATGCAACAGCATGAATGAATCTCCAGGGATTTAGAATGCCTGAAAAAGCCAATCTTAAAATTGTATGATCCCATGTATATAATATTCTAGAAATGACAAGATTAAAAGAATGGAGAACAGACTAGTAGTTGCCAGGGATTAGAGACAGGGAAGAAGGCAGACGGCGGAAAGCAAGAGTGGCTAGAAAGGAGCCTTGTGGTGTTTGAAATGGTCTGTATCTTGATTTTGGTGGTGGATATATGATACACAAACCTACACAAGTACTAAAATTACCTAAAACTAAATACATGCAGGCATACACACACAAATGAGTACAATTAAAATGGGAAATCTGAATAAGATTGGAAAATCATATCATTGTCAGGATCCTGGTTATAATATTGTATTCTAGTTTTATAAGATAATGTTATTGAAGGAAACAGTGTAAAGAGTGCACAGGATCTCTTTGTATCATTTCTTAGAATTACATGTAAATCTGTAATTATTTCAAAGCCAAAAAAACAATTAAAAATGTTAGTGATCTGTTGAAAACACCTTGAGATTTTTTTTTAAAGATTTTATTTATTTATTTGACAGAGAGCGAGACAGCAAGAGAGGGAACACAAGCAGGGTGAGTGGGAGAGGGAGAAGCAGGCTTCCCGCTGAGCAGGGAGCCCGACACGGGGCTCGATCCCAGGATCCCGGGATCATGACCTGAGCTGAAGGCAGACACTTAACGACTGAGCCACCCAGGCACCCCCACCTTGAGATTCTGGACAGTTCACCTCCCCCAACAATCTTTCAGCAAAGGGCATTAGTATCCACTGATGATTCTTACCCAAACAGTTACTATGTTGGTGGTTGCAAAATGGTGATTTTCTGATTCTGTCTTTCCTTCTACATTTATTAACTAGCATTAATGTGGAAAAATAAAAGCTTTTTCTCCATCCCTGTTTCCCCTGGCCTTCTCTAACATATTCACCATAACTTGGAGGTGAACCAATGAGGTAGGGTTCATTGATCTTTGCCCACTGATGACATACAATGTCATTTTGCTGTTTTCCATTGTCTTCTTAGACAGTGTTAAACCTGGTACTTCTATTAAGACAGTTTGAAATGTTCTGGTCTGTGCCCTGAAATTTATCTGGTTGGTTCTATGTTTTTGTTTTTTACCAAGCTACCTCTGCATTTTGGCCTGGTGGCAGTGGGGACAATTCATTTAGCCCATTTGCCTTATGGGCCCTCCTTCTGAATATAGAAAAGATTATCTTTCCATCCTGCTTGGGGAAGACTTCTTCTACATATCATGTCTTTTTCTTTCATGGGGTGACATTTGGCATTTCCTTCCTTCGGGCAATAACATGAAAAGAAATTGGATTACAGAGAAGAGAAAAACTTTGGGACAGTTTTTGAAACTATATATGATTGCTCTTTGGACTTGTAAGTTGTCTAGTCAGACACTGTCTTGAGAAGTTGCGGGAGAGAGAACCATGAAAGATAGCATTTACCCAAAGGAGCCCAGCTTTATCGCAAAGAAACTCTTCCAAATTTACAGACTCTCTAGACTGGAAGAAACTGAGAAACATTTATTTACCAGTTCTGGATCCATCCTTTCTTTTACCTCATCCTACCCCAAGACCTAGGCAGCATGATAGAACAATGAGGAAATTTATTTTAATCATAGAAATTAAAATTTTGGGGTCTGTGGGTGGCTCAGTTGGTTAAGCGGCAAACTCTTGATCTCAGCTCAGGTCATGGTCTTAGGGTCCTGAATCAAGCCTCAGGTCACGCTCTGTACTCAGCAGGGAATGTGCTTGAGGATTCTCTCTCTGCCTCTCCCCCCACTCGTGCTGTCTCTCTCAAATAAATCTTTTTTTAAAAAAAATTAAAATTTTCATTTAAAATAATCTTGTCAGGGGTGCCTGGGTGGCTCATTCAGTAAAGAATCTGACAATGAATCGTGTGGATCGCTATATCAAAAACTAATGATTTATTGTATGGTGACTAACATAACATAAAAAAAAAAAAGAGTCTGCCTTCGGCTCAGGTCATGATCTTGGTGTCCTGGGATCAACCCCCACGTTGGGCTCCCTGCTAAGTGGGGAGCCTGCTTCTCCCTCTCCCTCTGCCCCTCCACCCCGCTTGTGCTCTGTCTCTCTCTTTCTGTCAAATAAATAAATAAAATCTTTAAAAAAATAATCTTGTCATAGTATGTTAAAATAGTTGTCCCATTACATTTGTTTTTCTTGACATGGATTTGTTTGTAAGTCAAGGAATTTCATATAATAATCTGGATTTGCTGCCTCATCTTTTAAAAAAAATCAGAAAAATCCATTAACGGTGGGCTTTCATTATGACATAGCGACAATTGGTAGGAGCTGATTAGCACCTCCTCCCTTAAATGGGGCAGGAGTTTCCGTTTGCCATATTTCTCACCTATACCCCCTTGCGATATGGTTAGTGAGGTACCAAAGGATGTCTAGGAAAGAAGACAGTCTATATTTCCATTATCCTTAGGGAAAATATTACTAATATGCCTATACTTTTACATAGCAAGATAATCGAATGAAAAATTTGGTTGTAGGGGCGCCTGGGTGGCTCAGATGGGTAAGCGTCTGCCTTCGGCTCAGGTCGTGATCCCAGGGTCCTGGGATCAAGTCCCACAAACGGGCTCCTGGCTCAGCGGGGAGTCTGCTTCTCCCTCTCCCTCTGCATCTCCCACTGCTCATGCTCTCTCTCTCTCTCTCTCTCTCTATCTCTATGTCTCAAATGAATAAATAAAATATTTTTTAAAAAAAGAAAGAAAATTTGGTTGTAGATTTCTTTACCACAGCTAACTGATAGAGTTGTCATCGCTGAAAACTAACATTTAAATATTTCTTCAGCTTAAAGGTGGAGCCCAAGACTAAAGGATTAAAACAACAGCAACAACAACATAAGAAACTTCTGGCAGCAATGCTCTCTCAAGATTCTTTTGAGTCTCTCCACAGCCCTACCCCATCTGTAACAGAAGAAGATATTGATAATGAAGATGATGCAATGGAATTGCTGGGTAATTTTAAAAATTAATAATTTCTCCTTCTTCTCTGGCATTGTAAAAATGTATAGTGATTAAGAGATTTTAAAGTTTTTGAATAGTTTTGTCTTAGGGGAAAGAAATCGTTTAACACATACTTTAAACATTAGCCTTTCACGAAGTTGCATGTAAGAACTAAGTTGAAATCACCTAAGCATGTGAAGTATTTATTAGACTGTATTTTGTGCTTTGTATATGCAGCACTTTACCTTCTGACTCCTTGCTCAAGCTTTATTCCATGTGCAATTGTGATAAAAATTCAAGTCTGTCTGCTTTATTCTCTGATTATGATTGCCTTGATCACCTTTTGTCTATAAAATATATCCAAAATACATATTTCAGCCCTCATCCCAAGATATTCCCCTGTTGTTTCAAGGATGTTTTAGAAAAATACAGTAAAATTTAGAGAGACAGATAGTAAATTAGTGTTTTATGTTTTCCATAAGTTAGAGGAGAGTTTGCAAGATTTCAGTGTTTTTATAGGCTTGTTACTTTCATGAAAAACCTTATTAGTGTTGTATATATAGGGAACCCTTTATATCATAAATGAAGTAAATGTATGTTTTTATTTCACCATAAATCTTTGGATAGTAGTTTTTTAAAACTGAACTTTCCTTTTATTCTAAGTCATTAAAGCAGTTTCCAAATACTTTGTAACCATGTACTGAAGTGAATAAATGATGTAATCATTTGAAAGCTGCAAATAAGTTTAACATAGAATAAGGAGTCCCAGAAATATACAGACATTAAAAATTTTTTTTCTAAACCAGCTTCCTGGGTTTTAAGTGTTTATGGCAGTAAAATATTATCATGTTAAAAAATGGTATAGGTCTTCTTGCATAGACCTACAAATGTGTTATTTACTCAGTGATGGCAAGGTCACTGATGTTTTCTGATTTTATAATACTGCGTTCATTCTAGCATTGAGGAGACTGTCATGGCATTTTCACTTCATGATGTTCATCTGGTTTTTTGTTTTCGTTTTTGTTTTTGTTTTTAAGAACAGTGAAGTCTGGGTGTTTTTTTAAGGAATCTCATCTCCCCACCTCCAAATCATTAATGTGGCAGATGTGCCAGATGTTGTAGTACCCTCATTCAGCTTCAATTCAGCCAATGTTTACTAAGTACTTACCATGTACTAAGCACTGAGCTCAGTCCTAGAGACGTAAAAATAAAGTAATCTTGGATCTTGTTTGCAGGAACTTTACATTTCTAGTGTTTGAAATAAAAACGTAAATACATCATTCTAGTAGTTTTTGCGACAGGTGCCAATTTGATTAAGCAGACAGTTTAATGTAGGAATAACACCTAATGCGGAGGTAGGGGATGGTAACCAGGGAATGCTTCGTAGAGAAACTGATTCCAGTGGTGAGGTGAGTCCTGGAGGACAAGTAGATGGAAGTTCAGCAGGCAGAGTGTGGTCATTAACCTTGTAGGTTTGTGCTTGTAGGAATGGACTCTTTTGCTCTTGTGCTCCATAACTGCGCCTGTAAATTGTTCCTTTGCTTTGGTCAGTAACAGTGAAGGGGGCAAGGCTTGAACCATGACTGTCAGGGCCAGGAGGTTGTTCATATAACATCAATGTTGGCTTTTTGGTACATCGACATTGGGTTGTGCCGATAGTGTTCTTTCTCTCCCTTCCTTTACATGACAGCTCTTGGTCAGTTGATATCCACAGGAGGGCAGTTACATTTAACTTGCAAAGATAATCTTTTGAAGAAATCCAGGCATGCTCCGAATAACTTTGGATTTCCTGATAGCCTCAGGAGTATCTCATCAGAGTGGAGGAAATCATAACTTTCAGTGATGTTGAGGAGTTCTTTATGAAAACTTAGGTGTCACTCAGTGCTGGTACCCCTTAGATCTCAGCTCCTCTGAAGTTTCTAGTCTCCCAAGTTGAAGACCAGACTGTTAGGTTTGGGAGACTATCTAATATGAACAGTTAATAGCTGGTCCTCATTTTTTTTTTTCATTTAGACATTTTAAATGTCTGAGCAAATTTAAGAATGAGAAATATTTGAAAGTTTGGACTTTATATCTCAGCATAGGCAGCTATAGTATACTAATGCTGGTCTCTAGATTATGAGATTTTTCTGCCATGACATCAGATGTTCCAAGTCCCCTGGGCTATCCTCTAAAATAATGCCATATGCAACCCTGTCTCAGTGAATAAAGGTCATATAGCAGAAAATTGTATCCAAAAGATTGTTTTGCCCAGAAGTTCATTAATTATGTAAAATGGTATTTGGGTGTGAAATATATTTGTCTTTAAGACCAAAGTATACCTATCCATTCAATTATTTAGAAAATACATATTTAAAATACAGGTTCAGTTTTCTTCAAAAGTAGTGTATATAAATTCATGACTTAAAATTTTACTTATGCTTTTATCTAAGATGATGGTTAATCTCTTACATGAAATCGAACAGATGTACGTGAAAAATTTCAGTTAATATAAAAGTTAAAACTTTTTTTCAGTCATGATATAGTAATGGATGAATGATTAATATGGATGAGTATGGTATAAAATACAATGATTATTGTTATTCAATTTTAAGACCTTATATCTTCAGTAGCCATGTATGTCTCTATTAGTATTTCAGTAGATTTCAATCCCTACACTAATCAGTTAATGTGATATTGCTAAATCAATTTAGAAACTATATAATGCCTACTTTTCCAACCCTTTTAATATTAGATTTCAATCATGTTGTTTATTATTAAAGAATTTTCAGACAGTATTTTTTGAAACCCTGATCCCAGAGAAACATATGTGATTGTACATATTTGAGGAAAATACAAGTGCTAAGCTCCTGAAAAGTTATTTGAAATGAAATTTTAGTACATAGAATCATTGTAAAAGGCAAGAGACATCTGGTATTTAAAATATCTTTTGCAAATCTGCAACATTGTGTAGAATGAGTTTGCTATAACTTATGTGTTTTCAGTGTATAACTTGTCTATATCAGGTATAACTGGCTGAAAAATGTATTATGCCCAAGAGTAGTCTGTACTCTTTGTGAAGTGATAAATAAATGAGAAGTGTCATTATTAGTTAATGTCAATGTAACAAACGATTGTTCTTCAGTAAAACTGAAGGGGAAAAATAAGCCTTTTAGTTGAATAAGTAGAAGTCAGTAAAACTTCTTATCTTAATTTGTTTGTTAAGGAATTTATCATCGATAACACATACTGGGTTAAGATTTAATTCTTCACAGTTGTTTAATTGTATGTTTTTGGATTTCTATTCCAAGTCTATTGGGCATATGAAAATATAGTACATACAGCGTCTATAATTTTTAAGTAGATTAAACATTTACTGTAAGATTGCTTTAAATACTACTTTTAAATTCATAGCACAAAAGTAGTTTAAATGGAATTAATATATAACAGAGAATAAAATATCCAAATTTCTGGAATTTTAAGGTATAACAGTTTTAAGCACCACTGAAATTGGTGCTCTGTTTACAGAAGACATTGAATAAAGTATCTACCAACTCACCTCAAAGTAAGTAGTTCTCATCTTCAAAAATAAGATATTCCCTAATATTTTAGTAACTATGCTGGAAATTAAGGATCACCATGATTAAATTTGCATATTTTCAAAAGTTATTAAAATCAATAATTTTTCAAAAGTAGAAAAACAAATTACAGTGGCACAGCAAGGGATTTATAAAAAGCCTATAGGTATCTTTTACTTCATTAACTTTCACAGAGAATTTTAGGAACTTCACTAATTTAAAAAAGATATTTCAGCTTTTAAATATAAGCTCATTTTCATTACGTGCATTTTTATTTTATTTTTGATGAAATGCTAATTGCAGTTAGGTGTTTATCTTCTATATAATTTATACTCCCTTGAAAATATCAGAATTATTTGAAAGGCACAAGTATTATTCTTACACATTTTAGTATAAGATAATTACTTAAAAAAATTTTTTTGGCTTTCTCTCAGAATTGATGATGAGGCAAATATCTAAAAATCACATTCCAGAGATGCTTAAAAAAGGAAAGCAGCATTAGTCATGATTTATACTTTCTGGTCTTAGAAAGTATAATCATATAAATTTAATTAATCATATAAAAATTAAAACTAACATTGTATTACCAAACGCAAAGTGATTACAAATCACCTTTTATATTTTATTTGTTTTAAATTTAGTAATTAAGAACAAGTGTAATTATACTGCTGTTCTTTGCAGAATACAGTAATTTCTAAATTTCTAAAACCCCAGTATTTTACCAGATTATGTAAAATGTTTAATTTTCAAGAAGAACTCATTGCATTAAGGCAGTCTTTTGGCAAATTCTTTTGCATTGTGACCAATCTTTCTTTTATTTTTTTTCTTTAAATTTTTTATTGTTATGTTAATCACCATACATTACATCATTAGTTTTTGATGTAGTGTTCCATGATTCATTGTTTGTGCATAACACCCAGTGCTCCACGCAGAATGTGCCCTCTTTAATACCCATCACCAGGCTAACCCATCCCCCCACCCCCTCCCCTCTAGAACCCTCAGTTTGTTTTTCAGAGTCCATCCTCTCTCATGGTTCGTCTCCCCCTATGATTTACTCCCCTTCATTCTTCTGTGACCAATCTTTAAAATTAAACATTTACAAAAAATCAAAAAAATAAAATCTTTAAAAAAATAAGTAAATAAAATTAAACATTTACTTTCTGTTCTGTTTTTTTTTCCCCCCATTTGGAGGCTTCTTAAAGCAGAAAGCACCCATATTTACAGAATAAAAACATCTATTTCATTTAGTGAAAAATGCTGTCATTCAATGATGTTAGAAAAAGAGGGGAGAGGACCATAAATGTTAAAAAAAAATCTATCTGGGGCGCCTGGGTGGCTCAGATGGTTGAGCGTCTGCCTTCAGCTCGGGTCATGATCCCGGGGTCCTGGGATCGAGTCCCGCATCGGGCTCCCTGCTCCTTGGGAGCCTGCTTCTCCCTCTGCCTCTCTTTCTCT